ATTCGGAGGGGGGCTCGTCATTGTCTCTGGCCCAAACAACGGTCCTTCCGAGCTTATCAACACCGAGATCGCCGACATGTTGCCGGTGAAGTTGGATCGGTCACTTTCCATTCGAGCCTCGAATCCATTCCGTATGGAAATCACGCCACTCGGTAAACAGGCCGACATTATGCAACTGGGCGATGAGATTTCTGGAAGTGCCATTCAGCCCTGGGAAAACCTGGGAGAGTTGCCGTGGTACCAGCCGGTCCTGGGAGTTCATTCTCAAGCTAACGTCCTCGCCCAGCACCCGACCGATGTCTGTGCCGACGGTAAAACACCGCAGCCCCTGATTGCCACGCGGCGGTATGGCAACGGCGAAGTGATTTACATCGGGTTCAACGAACTTTGGCGGCTCCGCCGTATTTACGGAGAACGTTACTATCGCCAGTTTTGGTCGCAGATCATTTCTCGTCTTGCTCTGAGTCATGCATTGGGGAGCCAGAAGCGTTTTGTTCTCTCGATGGACCAGCCAGAGTATCAAGTCGATGATCGAGCCCTGCTGACCGTCGAAGCGTACGACGAAAACTTCGATCCACTCTCAATCGATGATCTGCCAGCGGAAGGGCTTCAAGCACAAGTGTTTCTCGGTAACGAAGCGGCCGTTCAGCCGATGCAACTGACTCTCAGTGAATCGCGTCCGGGTCGATTCGAGGTGCGATTTCCTGTTTACGAAGCTGGTCGATATACCGCACGCGTTACCGACCCGATCAATGGCACACCAAGCGAAATCAGGTTTGACGTCGTCGGAGCTTCCGCCGAACAGCGAAACCCGGCCCGAAATCTGGCCCTGCAAAAAGCGATGGCGACTTCGACCGGCGGCCAATCGTACGAGTTGCCTACGGCAGGCCAGCTTGTTGATGACATCCAGTTGGAACCGGTCACGGAAGAGATTTCACGCAGCTTTCCTATCTGGGGCACGCCGCTTTGGTTTATTGTCGTGGTGACCATGTTGATGGCGGAATGGATTGCCAGAAAGCGAGCGAATCTGGCATGAGCGTCTCCAAATTAACTGGCCTGAAATCTCAGCTGAATCGATTACGGCGAGCGCGCAACGGCGTTCGCCTGGGAATTGCCCTGACAGGCGCTGCGTTCTGGATCCTTGGTGCATTGGCAGCTTGGTTCGTGCTTGACTACGAATTTCAGCTAAGCCCGCTCCATCGCGGCCTGATGATGCTCGCCACCGTTCCCCTACTTGCATACGGCCTTAGTAAAGCTGTCTCGGCACTGCATGGCTGGAGTGTGTCACTTATCGATACGGCTATTTCAGTTGAAAACCGTCATGGCATCGATGGCGACTTGGTCGCCGCAATGCAGTTCGAGCAGGGACAAGCCATTGGTTCTTCCGAACTACAAACGGCGGTCGTCGATTATGTTGCGGAACTGAAAAACGAAATCGATGTCTTCGATGGCTTCAACAGTCGGCCGGCCCGCAATCGTGCCTTGATCTTGTGCTTGATCCTGCTTGGCATCGGCGGTGTGTGCTATGCCGCTCCGAATCATGTCTCGATTTTCCTTCAAAGACTAACATTGTCGGGCGCCCAATACCCCACCAAAACCCAAATTGCGTCGATCCATATCAATGGGCAGGAGATCAACCTGAACGATCCGGCAACTCCCGTCACGATTGGCTACGGGGGATCACTTTCGATGGCAATTCAATGTGCCGGGGTGATTCCTGAATCATGTCGCTTGCAGATTCGTGATGAAAAAGGGGAGACGACCGAAGCGACGTTAGAGCCGTCCTCAAGCGATTCGGGGGAATTTGTCTATACGGTTCCGCGTCTTATTCAGCCTATTCAATACCAAGTGTTCGCCGGCGATGCGAAAACCGCTGAATTGTCGATCGAGATCATTACACTTCCAGTCCTGAAAGTTGAACTCGCGGCGACACCGCCCGACTATGCGAAAGACATTCAACTTTCAAGCGGTTCCTCTTCGACACATTTGGCAGTCCTCGCCGGTAGCGACGTCACCATGACCGTTGTAGCCGATCGTACACTTGAGGCTCCAAGTTTGATGCTCCAACATGGAACGGACCAAGAGCATCTGAAGCTTTCGAGTTCCGGAAACAATTCTCATGTGTGGAAGCTTGGCCAGCAGCACCGAACGCTGACCCACATTCAAGAGACCGTCACGTACGAACTGAATGCTGTCGACCAACATGGCCTGCAACCAGCTTCGCCCATTCGTGGAACGATTCGTGTCGTTCCAGACCGTATCCCCAATGTTTCGATACAAACAATCCATCACGTGGTCCTGCCGACGGCTGCTCCCGTAATACGTTATCGCGCCACCGACGATTTCGGTCTGGCATCCCTTACTTTCCGTCTGGAAATCCGGCGTGGCAATTCCTCGCCCCGCGTCGCCGAAGTCCCCTTCTTCACAAACGAAGCGGGACAGCCTCCGCAAACTTCTGCTGAAGGCGAGTTCGCATTGGACCTGGCACCCTGGCAACTCGAAGTAGGCGATCAGG